TGGATTGCTAAAAGCCCTTCTCTGCACCAGAGAAGCAGACTGAGCCTTTGTTTGCAGACTGTCCTGATAACTGACAAAGGCGATCCGTAAATATTTAATAAATGACTTGTCCTCATTGCTGCCTTGAGTTGGCTCTAGGTTTTGCTTGTGGGTGGGGGCAGAGAGCCGAGGCCACACCCTGTGCTTCAAATTCAACCCAAGCACCATAGGCTCAGAGGAGGCAAGTCCCATTCTTCAAGATCTCCAGCCAGGAAGTGCGAAGGGGAGATGAGCACTTCCTGAGGGGGGGTCTCTCTAGCCTCTGTTTTGCTTGGAGTAAGAGGGGCCAGGCAGGAAGCCTGTGGCCCTTGTTAAGTGGGTGTGTTTTACCCAGTTCCATGCTGGACCAGGATGACCCATTCAGGATTCTGTTTCTCTCACTGATCAGGAGGCCCCTCACCTTGGAAGGAGTCACATTTTATTCTTCTCTCCTCTCCCCTGTACCCTCCTTGGTGGCCTAGCATGTTCCAGTCACAGGCGAAGGTCTGATGAATCAGGAAGTGAAGATGATCTGTGGTGACTCACAGGGGTTTTAGGCCTGGCTCTGCCACTTACTAACCGTGTGATACTGGCAAGTTAGTTAACTTCGCTGATCTTCAGTGGCTGTGAAATGGGGACCTTAGTACTTAGTCCTTCAGGTGCATATTGGCTGGAAGCCATCCATGACCCATATGTGAATTGAGCCATGTGCATGAACTACAGCAATCTGGAAGCCATTAGGAGGAAAGCCTTGTATTTGGAACTCCCAGTAGCAACCTGGCTGGTTTGAGAGAACGCCTGGTTCATGTGGCTTCCTACCCAGCTCCACTGCAAGTTCAGCACAGCATCAGAGATGGGGTGACCCGCTGGAGCCACAAAGCCTCTTGGAGGTGGGTGTGGCTTGCCAAAATGCCAATCAACCTGTTTACTACAAGACCCTGCCATATGGAGAAGCAAGCACCAAACCCCACCGTTCCTCCCACTGAAACCTCGTCCAGATGCTCCTCTTCTTATATCTAATATCTGGTTCCATCTCTATTTCTTACTAATTATTTCCGACTTTTATGCCCAGGTGGCTCACACCTCCTGATCAGGAACCTACCCTGGAGGGGTGCTGGTCACCCTGCAATAACTATTGAGGTAGAATTGATTTTGGATAGTGGGGTTGAATCCACTAAACCACATCCCCAAACCCCCTTTTTAAATATTTGTTTTAGTTGTAGATGGACACAATACCTTTATTTTATGTTTTCATTTTTATATGGTGCCGAGGATCGAACCCAGTGCCTCACACATGCTAGGCAAGCGCTCTAGCACTGAGCCACAGTCAGGACCCCCTACCCATTTTTTAATATTTTATTTAGAGACCAGGTCTCCCTGAGTTGCTTGTGTCCTCACTAAATTGATGAGGCTGGCTTTGACCTCAATATCCTCCTGCCTAAGCTCCCAAGCCACTGGGATGACAAGCATACACCACCACACCCAGCCAGAGATTATGTTTAAAAGGTAGAAAGGAGACAAAAGAAAGAAAAAGGACATTATATCTCTAATCTGAAGGACTTGTGCCAAAGTTCGTACCTTTTATCCCCAAGCTAGTTCTCTCTCCCAGGCCTGTCACTCACACATTTCTGGAAAATCTACAAATCTTCACGGTGGTCTTTTACTTGTGTATTTATTCCTGTACTGAGGATTGAACCAGGGGTGCTTTGTCACTGAACTACATTCCCAGCCCTTTATTTTTTATTTTTTTTTTAAATATTTATTTTTTAATTTTCGGCAGACACAACATCTTTATTTGTATGTGGTGCTGAGGATCGAACCCAGGCCGCATGCATGGCAGGCGAGCGTGCTACTGCTTGAGCCACATCCCCAGCCCTCCCAGCCCTTTATTTTTAAGTTTTGAGACAGGATCTCACTAAATTGCTGAATCTGGCCTTGAACTTGTAAGTAGCTGGGATTGTAGGTGTGAAGTCACTGGGAATTTATTCACTTTTGAAAATTTCCCTGTGCACTATTAATTATCCACAGATATAGGTATTTTTAGAATAGATTGAGAAAAAAGAGAAACAAAACTTGCTATAGGGGCACTTTCCCAGTGCTATCTATTGATCAGATAGTGGAGAAGACGCCAACCTAAGAGTCCTGAAAGTGCCAGACTGCCACCACCATCAGTCTTGTCATCACCAGGCTGATGTCCCCATGAATCTTCCCACCACACCCCTCGCCAGGTTTCCTTTAAAAGAAGAGCCTAAGATCCCAAAAGCACACATTGCTCTCCCCCCACACATCCCCAATTCTCTGTTGAACATGAATTCCTTGCTTTCCTAAGTAACTTTCTGTACCTTCATATCTGATACTTGACAACTCTTTTCAGTCACTATGTCAAGGACAACATCCTGCGTTGAGGTCCCCTTCTCCAGGACCTCCTTGGACTCCCTTGGTAGGTGACACTGTCTTCTTGAATGTCAGGGCATGGTGCAGGAGCCTGCGTGCAGACAGTACAGATCAAAGGTCAGCGTCAAAGTGGGGAGGGCCTGAGCTCCAGTTGGTGGAAATGTGGAGTGGAGGTTGAAGCCTTCCTGCAGGGATGTTTGGTGGTCCCCGAGGCCACAACTGCGATGCTGTGTTAGTTCTGTGCATCTGTTTGGCGTTTACTGTTTGGCATTACTGGGTGCCTATTCTGATACACTTCAGTTTTTGGGTTTTTTTTTTGTTGTTGTTGTTGTTGTTGTTAGATGAGGGTTGGGGGGGGGAGGGGGTGGTACCAAGGATTGAACTCAGGGGCACTCAACCACTGAGCCACATCCCCAACCCTATTTTGTATTTTATTTAGAGACAGGAGGGTCTCACTGAGTTGCTTAGCGCCTTGCTTTTGCTGAAGCTGGCTTTGAACTCGGATCCTCCTGCCTCAGCCTCCCGAGCCACGTGCAAACTGTTTGTTTTCATTCTCATAGGTACTATTACATATCCTGTTCCAAAAACAGGCGGAGAGGTGAAGTCTCGGCTAAAGTCGGCTTAGGGCACTGTGGCCTGAATAAACCAAAGAGAAGATCCACCGTGCCAGCTTCGTGGGCCCCCTGGGAACCGCGCCTGGGAGGGGATGCTGCTGCCCAGGCAGAACGTGCCGAGTCCCGCGCTCCAAGGCTGCGGGGTACCGCCCTCCTCCGCCCCGCCCCTCGTCTTCGGCTGGTCCAATCCCACGGCCTTCATGTAAATGAGGCTCTGAGAGCGAGCCTACCACCGCCCAGCAGCGTTTTGATTCATTGTTAAAATGTAAAGGCCGTGACCCTGGTACTCGCACCCCCGCAGCCCCAGTGCTTGGAAACCCGAGCCCAGGTGAGCGGTGGAAAAGGGCGGCTAGGGAGGGGAAGGGGGCTGAGAGATGCGGGAGGAACTGGCTGCCGGCATGGATGGAGAGAGGTCCAGGGGTCCATTCTCCGGGTGGGGCAGGCGTGGCCACTTATGGTTTCGTTGTTAAATCTAAAGTGCATCTTAGAGAAAGATTTTGCCAACTGATTGAGGGTAGGGGAGAACGGGAGCAGCTGGGGGCACGTGGAATGGAGCCCCCCACCCCGCCCCCAGGGAAATGAATGGCGTTCTCCGTCCAAGGCGGTACTCCTTTATGTGGACCAACCGGGAAAGAACCGCCCAGGTGGTGCGGAGCATCTGTCCACCGTCGGCAACAGGGAGCCAGGCGGGGAGGTGACTGCCTCTGCCTCGTGAAGATCCGAGGCTCCGATGCCACGGGCGGGCTAGTGGGTGCCCCACCCTGTCCCCTCTGCGGTCCTCTCTCCTGGGGAAGAGATGGAGCCTTCCCCTGCTGCCCCCGTGGAGACGTGAAATTCCACAGCTCTCAGCTGAGATTGACAACAAAGGCCTGATCCCTTGGGAGCTTTGGAGGAAAGTCACCAGGTCCGGTAAGTATGGGGTGGCAGGGGGAGCCTTAAGGTGTTTGTGTGTTTGGAGTCAGATGTCGCCCCTGCCGTCCTGGTCTCCTTACCGGAGGGGAGGGCTTCTTCCAATCCCTCTCCTGACCCAGCTTTGTTTCCAGAGGCTGAACATTGGAGCCCTGGGCTCAGGTCAAAGCATCAGGGTTTCTTTCCCGTTAAGCTCTGTCACAAACTTGCTGTGTAATCTTAGGCTGTTTACTTTTGTTTAAGACTTAGTCCTCAACCCTAAAAATACCTGGGTAGCCTTTTGCCTCTCCTTGTGTTTCCCAAGTGAACTGTGTAAGCTGTCAGTGTGACCCTAGGGCCCCTCGCTTCCACCTCCAAGAGAGTGGGCGCACACTGACCTGGATTTGAATTCCGCTCAGCCACATCACCTTGCCTGTCAGGGAACCTCTCTGAGCTCTAGTTGTGCGATCTGAAATTAGCATGAATTTGAACTGCAATGCCAGGATTGCTATTAAAAAAAGGTATTCAAATTTGGGGGTGCTTGCTGGAATCTCCCACGGGAATTGTTTAAATGACATACCCCCAGGCCTCACCTCCTGGAGATTCTGACTGAGTGAATCAGGAGAAGGAATAGGGAATCTGCATTTTTTTAAGAGGCAGGGGTCTTTCTATGTTGCTCAGTCTGATCCTGAACTCCTGGATTCAAGCAAGCCTCCTGCCTTGGCCTCTTTAGCAGCTGGAAATCTGTATTTCTTTATGAGCAGACCAGGATTGTGTAACGTAGGGTCCTTGGAACACACTTTGAACAACACTGTAGTGAGGGCTGAAAATTCACATGTCAAATACTTGGCAGTGTGCCTGGGTGCTTAGGGATTGAGGAGTGTTTACTGAGTGAATAAATGAACATGAGTGGATGGATAGCCATGGATCCTTGGTCCTCGTCTGGCCTGGAGACACTGGGGCTAGGGTCTGAGTGGATGGCTAGTCAGTCATCTGGTCCTTGAACTACTCCCCCTTTCTCCCCAGGCCCCTTCTAGAAGGTCAGCCAGTGGCTCACAGGAGCTGCCCTGGCCTGGCTCACCCATTATGGAGCATGAGGCTGAGAAGGTCTCCTGTGAACCCTTCAAGGCCAATATGCTTACCCAGAGCTGCTGTCAAAACTGCCTCCACCCTGAGGAGGCCCATGGAGCAAGACACCAGGTGAGCTGGCTTTCCTGGGTGGCTGGGGTGGTTTGGGATGGGGGAATCACAATGGCTGGGCCATGAACTTGAAGTTGAACCCAAATGCTTCCTTCTGGCCAGCACCTCAGTTTACCTGTTGATACAATGAGGTGGCTGAACCATGTCGATGTTTTAAAATCTTTAGTCATTTTCCTTCAGTTTTTGATTTTTACCATAGCTTCATCTAATCTATTACTTATTGTTCCTTAGATTAAAATCTTTTGTGGGGGGATAATGGGGATTAAACCTAGGGCCCTGTGCAAGCTCTACCTCTGAGCTGCACCCCAACCCCAAAAGCAACATCTTTTTTTCACTTATATGAGACAAAACTTTACACCACCACCACAAATAAGAAATTAAGACCAGGGCCTAACCCGATGTGTGGCACACACCTGTAATCCCAGTGACTCTGGAGGCTGAGAGGAGGATTGTGGGTTCAAAGCCAGTCTCAGCAATGGCAAGGCACTAAGCAACTCAGTGAGCCCCTGTCTCTAAATAAAATACAACATAGGGCTGGGGACATGGCTCAGTAGTCGAGTGCCCCTGAGTTCAATCCCCGGTACCCTCCCCCAAAAAAGAAGGCAGGTTAGCAGATATTGGGTGTTAAAACTACTCCAGAACCTGCCAAAGACTTTCTTCCTGAAGCTGCTGTGAGAGCGAAAGAGTCTTGGTTTTCTTACTGTGCGGTTGGTGTGTCCGATGCCAAGCCCCTGTACGGTCATCCCAGAGCGCCTGGCACACACACCCCGGGAGGCGTGGGGCTCCTGGATCTCCAGAGGCCCTTCCAGCCTTGACCCCCTCTGACGTCGTCATTCCCTGTGGGGCTGAGGCTCCTCCTGAGCCTGGCAGCGAGCTTCTTGCAGGGGTTGAGATCTGAAAGCGGCCGCGGTGGAGGGTACTCTTCGGTTTGGGAGCCAGCAGGCTGCAGGCGCAGTCCTGGGGTTACCATTTAACGGCTGTGTGGCCTTGGGCCCTTTACGTTCTCGGGCTTTACTGTCCTCCTGGGTCCGTGGGGGCAGCAGGCTCCTCACTCTGGATCGCTGCCAGTACTTATGCCCATTCAGTACCTGCAGTTTCTTCTTTACCCCCTTCCTGACCAGAGAGGTAAGCTTGGAGGCTCCTTTACAGCAGTCTCCATACCTCCAGCTACAGCTGCCACCTTGTCCCTGAGGACAACAGATGCACAAAAGTGTTGTAAGTCCGTCTCCCATGCTAGTGACCTCCTCCCAGTGGGTGGGGAGACGCCAGTGTGGATTCAGACAGGTGTGAGTTCCAGCATCAACCTCACCTATTCTCAGCAAATACTCACGTATTTATTCATATTGAATAAGTGCGTAAAATGTGCCTGCCATGGTGCTGGATACTGGGACATAGTGATAAGTAAGACAGTCATATTCCTGCTTTGTGTAGCTGATAGTCAGGGAAATGGAGAGTCAGAAATTCTGCACGTGATTATTTAGTCATGGTTGTGATAAGTGCCATAAGTAATAGCAAGTGGCAGAGGGTAAATGATGGCGCATGGGGAAGGTTTCCCTGGTGACACTTGGCTGCTAGGGGTAGGCTTGCAGGAATTAGCCATCGAAGTTGGGGAAGTGCAGAGGAAGACAGTAGTACTACTGCATGTGCAAAGGCCCTGAGGCAGAAAGGAGGAGGCACATTGGTGGACTGGAGAGTGGTGAGAGGGAGGGACACTGAAGCTACAGGATGAAGCTGGATGGAAAACGGGCGGAGCCTGTGTCTCACCAGGTGGGGCCTCATGTGGCTTTGTGGACAAGCTGAGGATTTTTGGATTTTGTTCAGACAGTCATGGGATTCACTGAGGAATTTAAATAAAAAAGTGACAATGAATGTTATTCGATTTGCATTTTTCAGAGTCACTGTGATTTCTGGGCAGAGAATGAAGTGCTGAGAGGCAGGAGTGAATCAGGGACCAGTGAGGAAAATGTGCGAGTACCCATTTGTGCCAGAGAGGACGGGGCTTTGGGGTGGTGACAGAGGACGCACTGGAGAACTAGCTGATAATCTGGGTGTGGGGGAGAGAGAAGCCCTGGCTGACCCCTCTTTATTTCTGTGGGCAGCTACTTGGGGTGGAGGTCCGCGTGGAGCTGCTGGGGCCTGGTGAGTGGGGCACTTGCAGGCACGGTGGAGACGGGAGGCTGCTGAGGACCAGGGCTGCACTTAGCGTCAGACCGCAGCAGGGGATGGAGCCGTGCCCATCGTTGGGGTCTGGCTCCAGCAAAAGTCTTGGGCAGAGTATGGGGTGGGAAGAGGAGAGGCCCCCAGGGCCAGGACACAGCTGTTTCTAGACAAGCTCTGGCCACTGAATCAGCTTTTAGCCCCAGGTAACAGGAGGCGGAGAATCCCGGAGGACAGAGACACGCAGCCCATGATGGGAGGCAGACACCAGAGTGTGGCCTCCTCCCAGCAGCCACAGGTAGAGTGGGTTTCATGACCAGAGAAGGGTACTGGTACCAAATCCTTTAGTTTCCAGTTGCTCCAATGACGAGACCCCAAGGTGTGAAACTCCCCTGAGCCTCCCAGGGCTGAGCCCGGCCGTGGGACCCAGCTCAATGGAGGACAGAATTCTTGTGTAGCAGATGTAAAAGGAAAAACTGACCCCTTAAAATGACTATGCCTGGGATCCCAGCTACCCGGGAGACCCAGGCAGGAGGATCAAGGCCAGTCTTGGTAAGTTAGCAAGACCCTGTTTCAAAATGAAGAAATAAAAATATAAAGAACTGGGGATGCTCTTGCCTAGCATGTGCAAGGCCCTGGATTCCATCCCCAGCACCAAACAAAACAAAATACAAACAAACCTCATGGCCCCTGAGATTTCAAACATGTGAAACGGAAAAGCCTCTGTTAGAAAGTGCCTCCAGTCTGAGGGACTGAAGTTTCCTGCCAGACTTCTACTCACAGTGGGCACAGAGACGCAGGGCCAGGTCCACTCTGACATCTTCAGCCACTCTAGAATAGGTGTCAATGGCCATGTCCCAGGGTGTCCCCATCATCACCAAGAATGACCAACTGCTGACCAACTGGTCAACAAGGAGTCCTTGGAATCCAGCTCCCACAGGCCCCTGGCTCCGGATTCCTGTCCCTCTCTATTCACAGCTGAGTCTCCCAGAGGCTGGGAGCCAGGGGAGGGGGTCACATGACCTTGTCCAGGTCACAGCCAGGTGCGGGGCGGCAGGCAGTGGAAGGTGGGTGGCTGGGTGGTCGGGTCCTGCCCTTCCACAGAGTCTTGATTGCATTTAGCATTACTCTGACAATTGCCTGCGTCTACAGTTTATTTAATGCTCTTTCGTTGTTATTATACTTACGATGGGAAAGGGCAGATGAGCCCTTTACAGATATTAACTCATTTAATTCTCCTGGCAGCCCCTAGGACGTGGCTCAGGCCAGTTCTGCATGACATAACTGAGGCACAGAGAGGGCAGATCATGGCCATGATCCTGGGCATGCCTCCCTCTGCCTGCACTACAGAGACAAGGCCCTGGTGAGGCCATTGGCTGGGCAGTGAAGGAGCCCAGACAGGTCGCAGGTCTCAGACTGAAGCCCGCGCTGACCCCCAGACAGTAGTCAGAGTGGGGACTGCCTGCCGGCCTGGGGAGTGGGCAGTGAGTGGGCAGTGGGTGGCAGTTGGGGTGAAAGTGGGAGCAGGTGCCATGCCAGACTGGAGGTGCTGCTGAGCCAGGACCCTTGGTAGTGTCCAGCAAGCCACTCCCTCTTTTTCCTGCTGCGCTGTCCCCTGGGTGGCCAAGGCGCCGGGCCCGGCTGTGGATCTGACACCTCCTGCTGCCAAGCGCTGATCAGATCAGAATCTGGCTGCGGGGCAGGGGGTGAAACTGATCCCCTCGGCCTCCTCTGGCTGGAGTCGCAGCAGACACCTCAGCACTCCCAGGCCCTGCTGGGGGTGACTTTCCTGGGTCCAGGAAAGCCTGTGCCCACCTGGGGCACTGATCAGGCCGCAGCCTCGGCCCTGGACTCCAGTCCCAGGGTCCCCAGGGAGCCCCGCCCAGGCTCCCACCCGCCCTGGCTCTCAGGTGAGCCGCGGGGATCGGGTTCCTGGGTCTCATGTGCCCCATTGTTCTTGGCTGGGCCCTGGCTCATGAAACAGTAATGAGGGGCCCCTGCTCCCGGCCGGCCCCTCTAAGGTTTCCGCTGCCTCTGCTGCTGCCGCCACGGCCCAGAGTCGGGCCAGGAGGGCGGCAGTGCGGGGGCCCGAGCTGGAGCCCCCCGGGGACGAGGGTGCTGACAGCCGCCAGCCTCTGCTGCTACCACAGGAGCCGCTGCCCAGGTAACCCGAGAGGAGGCGGGGCACGGGTGCCATGGCCGGGTGTCCCACCACCAGGGGAGGCCCTGCCACTCCAGGCAGCCGGAGGACTGGGGGGGCCCTGGTGGAGGCGAGCCGCCGCCGTTCCCCCTGGGTGAGCCCAGCTCCAGGGCCCAGGTGTGGCCGTGCTGAGGCCAGGAGGGGAGAGGAGTACGAGGGCCATGGCCTTCGCCACACCTGGGGCCCCAGCCTCCTGTCCTGAGCCCCTGCCTGGCCCTGAGCCCCTGCCTCCTGTCCTGAGCCCCTGCCTCCTGTCCTGAGCCCTTGCCTGGCCCTGAGCAGGGCAAATCTCTTCTCTCCTCTGAGATCTGCTTCCCGTCTTGGCTCTTCTCCCCACAGACCTCTCCCTGTTCGCCAGGCCAGGCATCGTGCACCTGCCTTCTGGGCACCAGAGGCCCTTTTGGGTCACTTTGCTTTCTCAGACACGCACGCACTGAAACACCCCTGAATGAACCTGCGTGCGCTCACACAAGCACACGCCCTGCGCCCCTAACGCTCTGTGCGCGCACACACCTTCAAGAGTCCCATGCACACGTGCGCACGCCACACACACACCTTAGAACTCGGCACCTGAGCCTAGGCCCGCTGTGTACACACCCCAGGCCCTGCCAGCCCCAGCCGGGTCCCTAGGCGCAGCCTTGTGCAGCAGCAGGCGCTCCCTGAGGACATGGCTGAAACCCACCCGCCCCGTGGCCCCGTGCGGGAGGCACTGAGCCCGTCTCTCTCCTGCTCTGCCTCAGGAGCTGGGGAGCCCTTCCAGCGTTGAGGCGCCCTACTACGACCTGCCCCGCTGCCCGCCAGCCCCTGAGGACCCGCTTAGCACCTCCACCTCCGATTGCCAGTCTGCGGTGGGCCAGGGGCCCAAGAGGTGGGTAGAGCCCAAGGACCCAGGGAAGGGCTCCCTGGGGTAGGGTGGCCTCACCTACCCCTCCTGCGCTTTCCACGGGGACAGCGTCTGCCTGATGCTGCTGAAGGGGGTCACGTGGGTAGTCCATGCTCTGGGCACAGGCAGGCAGGAGGCATGTGCCTCAGCCCCACAGGAGAACTCGGATCAGACTGTCCCTTTGGGGTCCTGAGTCTCTGAGCCTACTGTCCCCAGCCCTGGCTGTCTTTCCTGAGGGTGCTACCCACTCGCTAGTTCCCTAGCTCAGCTTCTCTCCAGGGGGCAGCGGCCATGCAGAGGAGGCCTGCGCTTAGTGAGGCACCAGCTGTCACCCTCCCTCCTGGCTGTGCACTGCGCCAGTCTCTCGATTCCCTCCACCCAGGCCTGCGCTCACCTGGACTCCCCTGGACTCCCCGTATGGGGTCATGGAACCTGGGGAGGCCATGACTTCAGGATCCAGAAACCTGGGTCCCAGCTTCTGGTCTGTCCCTCAGAGGCTGTGGGACCTCGGGCAAGTTGGTCCATCTCTCTGGGCCTCACTTTCTTTGTAAAATAAGAGGGACAGGTCAGGGCTGGGCGCATCTCAGCGGTAGGGTGCTGGCCCAGCGCGTGTGAAGTTCTGGTTCCATCCCAGCACCGAGTGTGTGTGCGTGCGCACGCGCGCACGCACACACCCACACACCCACACACTCACCGTGCAGAATCAAATGGCCTTGCTTGGAAACATGTGCTCCTCACAGTAGGCTTTACTTTTACTTATTCATTCATTTTTTATGGTCCTCGGCCCTCGCTGAGGAAGCGCTGTATTGCTGAGTTACATCTCTCACCCCAAGACGTTATTTTAAAGAAAAGCCCGGCTTTCAAATACATTTCAGAAACCCTGGGATAGGGGAAGTCGAATGCTTTCTCAGCAGGACTTTTAGTTTGTAGGCATCTGCATGGTGGGTACGGGGTGGGTTTGGGTGCGGGAGGCAGAGACATGTGTTCTGTCCCAAACTTGACTATAGAACTCTTTTGGGGTCATCACTCATTACCAGCCTGTAGGTCAATCTGTGTGTCCCCATCTTGAAAGACGTCAGCTACATGCCTCCTTGGGTCCGTGGCTGCCCTGACTGGCTTCTCTAAAGCAAGGTTTTTCTCTGCAGCTCTTGCCCCACAGTCTCCCACCTCCCCGCATTAGTCCAGCATGAGTCTATCGTCTTATTCTTACTGAGCCTAGAGTCCCCACTCCTGCTCTGGTGACAAGGGTTTGGATCCCAGGCAATTGTCCTGGTTCACAATCCAGCTCTGTCCTTTTCTGGCTGTGTGACCGTGGCCAATATCTTGACCTCTCTGAGTCACATTTCCTTCATCTATAAAATGGGAATCATTGTACTTCAAAGGGAGGCTGTCGTCGCACAGCTCATGAGGCCCTTGGTGTGGCTCCCTGTTCTGCAATGACAGCAGATCCCCGGCCCCTGTAGAGTGTGTTCTCGTGTGCATCTGGGCGGAGGAGTGCTCCCTAACTCCCTATTACTTTTTGGGGGAAAGTCACGAGTGTCTCCTGTCCCAGGGGCCTGTCCCTGACAGCAGGGCTTCCTGAGGAGGACCCCAAAGCTGCCCCCAGGAGCAGGCACCAGGAGCTGGAGGCAGTGCCCTATCTGGAGGGCCTGGCCCCCTCCCCGAGTGGCAGCTGCTACGAGGACCCCAACTCTGACACCAGCTGGAGCCCTGGCAGTTCCACCCATGACACCAGCAGGTCATCCTCTGTGGTGAGCTGGGGGCTGGAGACAGAGGGGACAAGAGAGGATCTACCCCCTGAGCCCAGCCGGTGCCTCACAGCAGGAACTGGGAGGGTCTCCCGGCCGCTGGGCCTGGGGCGGTGGGGACGAAGGTGGTTGACTAGGCTCAGGTGAGTCACCCGCCCGCCCAGGCTGCCAAAGCCTCTCGAGTCCCAGAGGGCTGGGATGTGGGCGCTGTGTCCAGAGCAGGCCTGGGGCTGGGCCCTGGTCACAGCTGCTGAGCCCATGGCCACTCTTGGCATTGGTTTCCAAGGACAGGGAAGGGATCGTCCTGGCAGGGACTGGGCCCCTCCAATGGTGCGGGAGCAGGCCTGGAGTCCTCTCAAGCTCTCCGGTGGAGGGGCCGTCAGGGGACAGAGGAGGCTGGCCTGTCATGAGACCCTCCCTCAGAGGAACCTGGCGGGGAGTGACAGGCTCAGCCTAACACCCCAGCCGGTGCCCCCCAGGTGGCCCGGGCTGTGTGCAGGGCTGGGGCTCCACCTCCCTCTGTCCTGGAGATGGTCATGGCCACTAGAGCCACACAGAGGGGAAGTGACAGGGCTGGGATCTGAACCCAGATCTCCTGGCTGCGAGGGTTTGGACAGACTCTGGGCTCTCTGGCTGCCTGCTGGCCGGGGTTGGTGGGGGGTTGGTGGGAGGTCGGTGAGGGCACTCAGTGGGCACCTTCAAGGTCAGTTCCTTTGGCGTCTTGTGCTGGGACTGCAGGCCGGGGCCACCTCCCCCCCCATCCAGCTTTGTCCTCCCTTTTCCTGGTAGGACTGCGACACTGTTGAGAGGTGGGCGGAAGTCCCCAGCTGGGACCTGCTTGCGATGATCCCGCAGAGGCCCCAGGAGGGGCAAAGAGCCGAAGGGGCCCGAAGGGTCACCAGGTCCCCTACAAGAGGAGACACTGCAGGCCAGAAAAAGGATGGTGAGTCCTTCTATCAGGCTAGTCCCTGTGACCATGGACATGGTAAGGACCTGGAGTTCCCCAGATAGCCACCTCACTGGCAAATGGGCCACGGGCAGGGCTTACTTTGGTGACCTGAGTCCTAATAATAGTAAAGTTTCTGTGGAATTAGGGACAACCGTGATGGGCAGGCTGCCTGATTTAAATACATCATTTCATAACCAGGTTGGGATCCGTAAGTTGCAAGGAAAGAAACTGGTTGAACATGAATGGAATGACTCACATAAATAAAAAGCCTCAGGGGTGTGACTTCAGGCATGGCTGGATCCAGGTGTTCAGCAGCATCAGGAAACTGGTCTCTGCTCGGCTTTCTTCTGAGGTGGTTCCATCCTTAGATAGACCCTCCCCTGACCCTGGCATGATGGCCACCGCTGTGCTAGGTGTGTCCCACCAGCTCATCAGCTTCCTTAGAAGGAGGGTCCAGTCTTCTCTAACCTGAGGCTAGTCTCAGGAAGGGTTCTCGCTGGGACTCAGGATGGAGGATGTGCCCACCTGGTGACCAGGGTCAGCTTCTGATGAACCTCATGGCTTTCGATATGGGGAAAGGAGAGAAATGAGGATGACTGTTACCAGAGAGGGGAGAGGCTGTCATCAGGCCGAGCCCACAGGGGCCGTGCTCACCAGAATACGTGCCCAGGATGCTGAATCCCAGAGTTTGAGCCCTCGCTTGATCGCCACTGCTCTGTGTCTCCTTGTCTCTGTCTTCAGCAGGGACAGGATTTGAGGTTAGGGGGCCAGAGCATCTGCATTTGAGCTCCAGTGGGCAGTCCTGGCCCCATGGGGGCCAGGGGTCCTGGAAGGGCAGGTGGGGGTTTTCACTGAGCCCCTGGTTTCTTGCTCCTAAACAGATTGTAGGCCGGATGTGGTGGCGCACACCTGTAATCCCAGGAACTAGGAAGGCTGAGGCAGGAGGATCACAAATTCAAGGCCAGCCTCAGCAATTTAGCAAGGCCCAAAGCAACTTTGCAAGACCCTGTGTCAAAATAAAAATAAAAAGGGCTGGGGATGTGGCTCAGTGGCTAAGTGCCCCTCTGTTCAATCCCTGATACTAAAAAAAAAAAGAAAAAACCCCACCTTACAACATGGGTGGGCAGCCTCGCTCTGTGCCCAACTTCATCAGAAGTGGACACCACTGTCCACCTGGTGGCATCTTCCTAAATGGCAGGCCAGGGGCTAAGGCCCAGGACTTGGCCAACTCTGGGATGCTGAGGGCTCCGCCCTCCACTCTCTGAGCTCTTGCCTGTTTGCAGAGCTCACCAGGTGGGCAGGTGACACAGAGCCCACCTGGCGGAGGACGGACACGCAGGCGCCTACCCCATTGTGATCACTAAGGGCTGTGGGAGTGAGGGCGGTCCTGGAAGGGCCAGGGCTGCTTCAGATGGTGGGAAGGAGCTGGGCCCCCTGCAGGGGCAGCTCGGCCAGTGCCCACTCTCAAAGGACAGGGACCCCAGGCCCAAGCACAGCTAGAGCTGGAGGTGGCAGCACAGTGTGTACTGTGCACCTACTGTGTGCTGAGCGCTTTTCCAAGCCCCATCCCGAGGGCAAGGCCCTTCCTGAAGAGAGCTTGCTGGGGAGGGAGCCGGGGACCAAGTGAACGAGACCATGTGAGGAGGCGACTCAGGGCTGCTCCCGGTGACAGGGGCACCTGAAGGAACCAGCCAGGTGAAGAGGGGCGTGCTTCAGGCAGAGGCAGCAGCAAGAGCTGGGGTGGTGAGGTGTCTGTGGTGTGTTCCAGGAACCCAGAGGTAGGCAGGTGCGGGAGCTGCGGGGGGGGGGGGGGGGGGCAGAGCCAGCCTGGCGGCGGAAATTGGGGATTTTATTTCAAATGCAGTAGGAAGCCCTGCTCTCTGTGTCTTTCTCTCCCTCTCTACCCCTTCTCTCTCTCTCTCTCTTTCTAACTTCCTGTTTTGAAATACTCTTAAATTTATTCGAGGGCCTGGGGTTGTGGCTCAGTGGTAGAGCGCTCAGCTAGCATTCATCGGGCACTGGGTTCGATCCTCAGCACCACAGAAAAATAAAATAAATATATTGTGCCCACCTAAAACTAAAAAAATAAAATTAAAAAAAAAATTTGGCTGGGGATACAGCTCAGTGGGTAGAGTGCTTGCCTTGCATGCACAAGACCCTGGGTTCCCAATCCCCAGCACCCCCCCCAAAAAAAATAAAATTTATTCGAGAGTTGCCCGGATGGTATGAGAGGTGCATTATGCCGTTTGCCCCGGTTCCCTGGATGTTGGCATCGAATATGGCCACAGTGCAGTGATCTGAATTAAGAAATGAACACAGCGAGGGCTGGGGAGGTAGGTAGAGCACTCACCCAGCGTGTACAAGGCCCTGGGTTCCATCCCCAGCACAAAAAAGAAAAAAGCTGGGTGCAGTGGTGCCTCCCTGTAATCCCAGCAGTTTGGAAGGCTGAGGCAGGAGGATCGTGAGTTCAAAGCCAGCCTCAGCAACTCAGCGAGACCCTGTCTCTAAAAACATATAAAAAAGGGCTGAGGATGTGGCTCAGTGGTTAAGTGCTTCTGGGTTCAATCCCTGGTACCAAAAAATGTTGATTAGTTAATTAATGAACACTGGGGTGTGACACTATTAACTAAACTACAACTTCATTGGGAGCCTCTCGTTTCTCTTCTAGCAGCCCTTTATGTCCACTCTAGCCTCCCACATGGCATCAGTTGCCAGGTCTCCTCTGTGTCCTCTCTGGGACAGCTTTCTGGTCTTTCATCCTCCCCTGCAAAACTGTGAGCAGAGGGATCTGGTCATTTTGCTTTGGAAAGGATCTCCCTGGGGAAAACCGTGACATTGGACCCAAAGAACACATGCCCGTGCTACTGCAACCACCCAAGCGAGGAACAGCGGTGGCAAGGTGGAGGGGAGGCTGGAGATGAGAGAAGCGGGTGGGTCTGGACACGCTCAGCATGGCCCGGGAGCATCAGCCCATCTGGAACAGCAGTGCTAGGGATCCAGATTTAGGTGACACCCGCGTAGCAAGGGTGGAGGGGACGGAGCTGAATGCAAAGGAGAGGGGACGTCCAGGAAGGCAGTTGTGGTTCCTTCAAGACAAGGCCACAGTACTGCTCACCTGACCACCAGCCCAAGGACACAGCTGGTGGCCAAGGAATCAGGGGTGGAGGTGACACCAAGGTCATGGCAATGCCATCATGGGCCTGGGGATCGGGAAGAGGTGACTGTTGAGGGAAGTTCATTTGTCCCTAGACCAGCGCTTCTGAAGCTCTGAGGTGCCTAAGTCGTCTGGAATCTGGTCAATGCTGACCCTGCACATGGGGGCAGGGCCTGAGGTTGTGATTCCCTGTAGACAGCCAGTGCTGGGCGGGGCCTCCGGAGCTGGAAGAGCTGGCAGGCACAGGGAACAGGAGCCCTCTAGAGTGTCACACACAAGAGGCTCCTTAGAAGACATCGGAGCAACTCGCGGGAACCCCCTCTGCAGGAAGCAGGACTGGACGGGGAGTTGTGCGGTGGCTTCAGGCCTGGCGCCCCCTGCTGGCGAGCGAACCTGGCTTTGATTTCAAATCCCAGCCCCAGAGGAGAGGGAGGTCCAGCCAGCCTTATGGAGAGGAGCAGGGTCTGCCCCCATCATGGGTCCCTGGGGACAAAGAAAGATAGGGCGTGGGGACTGGCCTGGCGCCCTCCTCACCTTCACCTTCTGCGTCTCTCTCCAGACTCGGGCGCTGGGAGCCGCTGTGCCGCACAGCACTGGGCCAAGCTCCGGGGAGAAGGCGGGTACTTCTCCTTGGAGCGACAGCACTCAGCCCCTGCCCAGGCTTCCTCTGCGACACCACGGCACAGACCTCACAGCGCCACCACCCCGGCCTCTGCTCAGGCTGCTTCTGCACAGCGAGAAGCCCCCCGGGCCTCCTCTACCCACCAAGTCGCTCAGAAGGACAACCCTAGGCCCTCTTCCACCCAGCAGAACACCCCCAGGGCCTCCTTCACCCAGCGGAACACCCAGGCGACCTCATTGCCCGCCAGAGTAAGCCCGCGGGGTAGCCCCGGAAGCTCATCCACCCAAGGAAGCCGTCCTCAACTGTCCTCTCCCCTCAGAGCTGCCCAGGAAGACGACCTCGGAACCTCTACCCAACAGGACAGCCCACAATCTTCTGTTCCCACTTCTCAG